TCTTGTAATCCTCTCCTGCAAAGCCTTGGGTCTTCACAAACACTGCCCACCTGCTACACACGTGCACATATATGCCTTCAAGAGTCACTGTGTGCCTAGAGACAAGCTTAAAGAAACCTCAGCCAGGTCTAATCCATGGGTTTTTATTTAACTAGTTATGTTTCTGATAATTGCCAGGTGCTAAAGTGGAACATAAAGCTTATTTCTATCATAGAAAAACTTGATTCTTATATTGGTTAATGGATTTCTACACACATGGATAGCGTCTTGATTCAGAATTTAAGGGAAGCTGTGCTTTATTGTTTTGTTTTGAATTAATATAGTGTAAGGAAATCAGACTTACTAGAACTGAAAGTGAAATCCAAACCCCTATTTAAAAGGGATTATTTGTACTTTATGTAAAGGCCTCTTTACCAGCCTGAACACAGGCCATATACTACTCCTGTTTGTCCAGCCTAATTGTTATGCTCTTGTCATACTTGTCACAGTGAGGTCTGATTGCTTTATTCTCACATTGTTTTCAAATACCAATTACATCATTAAATTCTCCATCTTCACATATACCAGCTACAAAGAAATCAGAGAAATTTTACCTAGAGAAACAAGATATAACAATTGATGGGTAAAAAAGGATACATAAGCTAAAAAAGAACCTTTTTTCACACAGGTTCGTTAGTGTTGTCCTCAAATATGTGATTACAGAGATTTAATGTAAAGAAATGGAAATGAGTTGGTCTTTTCTACTTATTTCATTTCCACTAATGAATAAAGGTTAGACTAAAAAGAACAACAGATGCCAAATAACATATCCTCCACAACTTCAAGGTTAAGCAGGCTGCCCAAGCTCACTCTGCCAGCTAGAGATCGAAAAAGGTCTTGACCACTTTCTCTTGGATGAGTCCTAACCTGACATGTATGAGCAAGGATAATATAATTAAGAATTTTCTTCTTCCTGTGCTTCAACAGCCACATAGAGCTGGTTTAGCAAGAGTACAGAGGAGCTACTGTTAAGCCACATGGCCCCCAAGTTGGTTTTGCTGCAAGACTAAGACTCCAGGCTGAGACTGGTGCCCACTTCTCCTTAGCTTCTGCTAATTTATGCAGAATCATTTAATTCTGATGACTGAAAAGCTGTTTCTGTGTTATGTTGTTTATTGCTTAGAACTAGTAAGTTTAGAAGGACAGTTCAGTGGAGTTAAATGAAGGTTTATTTTGGGCTTTCTCTGCATTCATGATGGTGATGGTGTACTAATGGAAATGGCTGAAAGCTTGAAAGGTCACAATGATTTGGTGGGGACCTGCAATACCCAAGATTCTTGTGATCCCTGGTCAAAATCCCATCAGTTTTTCTCTACATATAAATATGTAATATAATGCAATAAGCTGGGACACTCTCTACGGCCTCTCAGAACACAGTGGTCCTCGACAAGGCTCTGTAAGATTGTAGCCTGTAGATTGCTATTAGGCTCCGTACTGTCTCCCTTCTACCACTGGTGCATCAAGAGACTGACTGCTTTGCAGTAACTTCAGAAAATGTCCAGACCTTTGTGTTGAAAACCTGCTTAGATGAAGGGGAACTCTGTCATGTGAATTATTTATCTGATTTTTTGCAAGTCCTTTGTGTTTAAGAATTTTCTCAGTGGAGAGGATTTTTAAAATTGGTGCATCAGTGAAACCTTGATTATCAGTGGAGTCAGCATAGCTTAGGACAAATGGGGATGCTGCCTCTGTGGACCACAACAGAGTTTTTGAGATCCATGGGAGCCTTAGTGGAAAAGTCTTCGGACCTGAAAACTACACACTGACACTAAATATAACCTTCTGGTAAACACTGAAACTTCAAGGGCTTTGTGGCTGATGATCATGTTGAACTCCAGGACATTCAGTGAGAGACTAGAGTGGAAAACATAAACATGAAAAGAAACATAGGGGGATGGGAACTTTGAAAGCTGGTGGAGAGGACAGAGTAGATTTTCGTGAAGAAGTTTTTTTGTCTGGTTCAAGGGTTTTCAGTGTAATAAAGGTGAAGTATTCATAAGGCTAAGACAGGTTAACCAGTAGTGTACCAAAAAAGCACACAAGAAACTGTGGATTGCTCCATCATATTTTATCCTAATAGGAGTACTAAAAACACTGGATGCTGGGTAAAGGACAAAAAGCAGATACTCTTGACATTCCATCTTGGTTCTTCTGCTTTAAATAGGAGAATTAGCATCCTCTGCACTATGGTTTTTATTTTATGTATTTAAGCTCTGATATCTGGCTATAACTATCAGAAGGATTTCACAGAGCACGAAACAGCTGGAAAATAGGACGAGCTCTCAGTCCCTATCAATGTGGGCTGGATTTGATGCAATACTCTTGGAAGGCTCTGTATCTCTTCAACATAAGCTCAAAGATCTGGTCTATTCTCCCTCAAACTATGAACAGAAAAGCATTTACTTTCTCAGCACGGTAGTAGATGGGGACAAGCAAGTTTCTAAAGCAAACCATAAACTGTTCTTTTCAGGTATCTCTTGAATGATCATCCGTTATCTTGTAGCCTGCAGTGCTGTTCTCAGCCTTCAGGTCACGCTTAAACACCAGCTCATCTAGTCACACAGCACATGGAAGAAGTTCTGCTCCATAGCAGTTCTGACTGTTCTTAGCAAACAGGTTTGAGACTTATTTGGATAGCTGTTTAAAGCAGCTTCCATGGGTACCTGGGGTACTTTCACCACTGCTCTGTGAGGTGGATAGCCATCATGCTATCTATCTGACAGCTGGGCAGACTGATGTGTTATTTAACTAGTTCAGGATGACTAGAAAGCAGAGAAGACCCAAAGCCCTCGTTCTAAAGCAGTAAAACACCACTACGTGTCCTGTAAGAACAAACATTTACCAGTCCTGGAAGTGATCGCTTTTTCTGTTAGCTTAACTCTTATTGTCTTACAAACTTTTTTCAAGGCTGTCATAATATTTTTTAAAGATAGAAAAAAATTCAAACACCTTACAAAACATTCTGCAAGGAGAGTAAGAGACATTTAAGCCTGTTTAAAACTCAATCCAGAGACAGACCTGTTGCCAGTGAGGAGGGAAACTTGGCAGCTTTGCTTAAAGCTTCCCACACAGACACTGGAGACGAAAGAAAACAAAGAAGCTGTAGTCCCCGAGGGTCGGGCCACTCCCTGGGCAAAAACAGTCCCTTCTCTGCTTTTTCCTTTAGCTCTCAGACACACACACGCGCTCTCTTAGTGCCATTAGCTACGGCAGTAACCAATTGAGCCCTACAGTCCTGGAAAAAACACAGGAAATGAAGAGTTTAAAAAAAAAAAAAAAAAAAAAAAGGGAAAAAGAGAACTTGGAGGCGAGCCAGCGTCCCCGAATGACTCCGGTCTGCCGGCAGCCTGGAGCGACACTCCCCGCCGGCCCTGCCCTCCCTCCTCTCCCCGCAGGGCAGGAGGCATGCCAAGCCCTCCTCTCTTTATCGGGGGCTGGAGTTCCCCTTCTTGGTCTGTGGTTGGTTTGGAAACCCAGAAACGTTGCTAAATTTATCTTTCGCTTTCAGGACAATGGCAAATGCCAGCAATAAGAATGCAAAAGAACTGAAAATTAGTGGAGACAATTCCCTGCAAGCCAAGTGGAAACACCTTTTCTGTGTAACTCCCAAGGCGGCAAAAAGCAGTTACACAGTGCAAAGCAGGACAGGCTGCCTGGAGTGCCAGGAACACGCTGTTCCTTTGGCTGTGTGCCACAGGGAATTGTCCATCCATATGCTCAAATTTGATGGGGCTTTCTTCTCTCCCACAGAGAGCAAAGCATACCATCAAATTAGAATGGCTCTTACTTTATCTCAGGAAGGCAACAGGAAAAGCTGAAGGCACACTCAAAGTAGGGCCAGCATAGGTGAGGCTGACACCTCAGAGCTAAAGCTGCTCAACAGTTACATGATGTTTAGCATGTTAGTTCTGAGGATATCTTTATTACTGCTCTTTTTAAGAGGACTGACCATACATTTTAGTAAACTAATTTGCCATCTGAAACTACTCAGAACAACTTGCACAAGTCTGCTCTGGTCGGTGTGGTGCCTCGGCACATGTGCTATGATTGGTGCCTTCAGCAGAGATTGGTCTCCTCAATTTTTGGTGTCTCCTGTCTGACTGGAAGTCATCCTGTTTCCCAGCATCAGGCAGAGGCGTGAGGTGTGGCAAGTCATGGGGCCTATTTCAAGATGGCCCTCTTAATACTTTCAGTGCAACTTTCTCAACGCTTGCAAGACTTCCACTTTTTCTGTGGGTGTGTCTCATAAATTAGAGTAGCAACAAAAAAGTGCTCAGCCTTCACCAAGAAGTAAGCACTGAAAACTGATGAGTACAAGTTACTGGTTGCATTCAAATGTTTTTTTTTTCTTTTGAATTCGGTTTTACCCAGCTGCCAAAAGCATTTCAGACACTGCCCGTATCCCCCTCTCTCCTCACTCATGGTGTCTCCTTGTGACTCGTGTCCAGCCTCGCATCTACCTTCTGCTTACTCTAGCTTTCACAAAGTGTCTGCTAAAGAAAGAAACAGATACACAGCCATGTAGGTGCCTCTAGAACATTTAATTTTAAAATATCAAGAGTATCAATACTTGCATGGGAAGTGATAAGTTGGTATAAAGAGAGGGACTGGAGCATGGAGTAGGAAAAACGGGGAGGTAAGAATTACTGAAAGGGAAGTAGAAGACACACAGAACAAGAAGGCCAGCAGCTAAAAATTACAGCTTGGTACAATCCACACAGATGACCCGCATGCCGTTCCCTGTGACATTAATAAAAAAAGGGCAACATTAGCTTTGAATCTGTGCCCAGTAAGGGTTTATTCCCAGAGGGGTTTGGGGTTTTTTTTGCTGTTGTTTGGTTTTCCCGAGCTTGAGTTCCGAGAGGTGAAACCATAACAGTTGCCAAATAAAAGTTTGGTTTTGTTTTTCATTTTAACTACCAAGCTGTAACAAATAAATCTCTGGCTGGATTGTAACTAACCTGTATGGGTCCTTAGATGAGCTTTAAGATGGGAAGATTTGCCATAAACTTTTTCACACCCCACATAGTGGCATTTGTGCTTTTTCTGGGGTGATCCAGGGTCAGTCCAGCTTCTTATGCGTTTGTTCTTTTGTCTGGGGCTTGGCTCAGTTACTGCAGCCAGGCTAGTAGGTGTGGCTGCTCTTTCTCCTCCACGCTTACCAGCTGAAGACAGACTTTCTTCCCCAAACTCCTTAGGAGCAATAGAAATGTGTATTTGTTCTGTTATATCAAGCGTCTCTGTTTTTTCCGTCCTTAGAGCAGGTGAGTTTGGGACATGCTGGTTCAGATCTGCTAAAATGCTAGCTACCACAAGTAATGATGATCCATTGTCTTTCCCGGTTTCTCTGACTTCCCGTCTATCTTCTCCATTGGATGAAGGAAGTATTGCTGCATCAGGTTGGGGATCAGACTCCCCTTTGGGACTATGGATAACAGCACGACTTGACATAGAAACAAGGCACTCTGCTGCAAAATGATCCACATATGCTGCTGTTGCCATTTTTCATAAGTTTAAAAAGAAATCCAAACAGACGAAGACAAAAATAGAAAAAACAAACCCAACACAACAGCGCTCTTTCCCTTTTTAAAAAGATTACACAAGCAGACTTTTCCGTCCCTTATTTTTTAGGATCGGTATGTAGGAGTAAAGGCTGATTTAGCAGCCATCAAACCCACACTTGGTTCGTGACGATCACACCCAGCTTGTCACTAAATCGAAAAAGCGTTGGCGGTCCAATGTAAGAGAAAAAGAACAGCAGATAGATCCCGGCACTGGCACCTTGTTGCTCGGAGTACGGATTAATGCCGTTTTCTCAAAAACGTAATGAGCTGGCGATGCGGTGTCGCAGCCCTCCCATCGCGCTGTGACAGCGGAGCCGGCGCTCCCCGTTATCGCTGCCCGGAGCCGCCCGGACCCCGCGGGGCGTGGCCTGGGGAACATCTGGGCCGTGACGTCAGCGCGGGGCCGCAGCCCGCGCCAGCAGGTGGGCGGTGCGCGGGGGGGGGGGGCGGCGCGCGCGGGGGGGCGGCGCCCGGCGGCGGCGGCAGCAGGCGCGCGATTGGCTGGCGGCGCGCGCGGCCGGCACCCTCCGCCCCCGCCGCGACCGCAGCGCGCAGGGCGGCGCGCGCGGACCCCTCCGCCGGCCCCGGGCGCGGCCCGGGGAGCTCCCGCGCCTTTGGCTCCCTCCCCTGCACCCTCTGACGGACGGGAGCGACTCGGTGACATCCGCCTCAGAGCTGCACTGCAAGAGACCTGCTTAACAGGCGCCGAACTGTTTTACAAGATGAAAACGTTGTGACGTTGGAACTGATATAAGTGATAGGAAGGAGCGAGGCTGCACGGCTTGGTCCGCAGCTACACAGAGGGTGTGGATTTTAATGGGTTGTGACAGGTTTAACTCACTGCCAAGGAACACACTTGAAATCACCTTCCTGTCAAAACTCTAGCACTCCGCAGCCTCTGAATTATTTAAAAATGCAAATAACTTGGGTTTCATTATTATTCTCTGCTTGTAAAAGATACAGCTCGGCCAGTTTTATAGAGATTAATGCCTGAATCAACGAGAGAGTTGCACGTGTAATTAACTTACTGAGTAGAAGTAAAGAAATGCATCTGAATGGAGATCTGAAAGCACTTGTGATACCTATTACCTTTTGCTGGGACATGTTTCTCCAGACTTCCTATGAAATTCATGTCTTTAGCAAAGACTTTTTTTCTGTCTGAGTCAGAGATGATCAGAGGAGGGTTTGCTTTGGAAGCTCTTCTTTCAGGAGGAAAAGATAAGATTCGTGGAGTTTGAGGCAGTGTCAGAGGAAGTGAACATCTGTTCCAGAAACCCAAATAGTTTTGGTGTTAGGTTGAGCAAAAAGGTGGTCTTGTACATGTGAAAATACCATATTCAGGAGTAAAGTCTGCTTATGCTACCACCGTGCTTTGTGAAAAAAATGGCATTTATGTTCCATGCGGCACTGCCCCTCAGGGCCAGGCTCATGGGGTAAATAACCTGTGCCTGCCAGTGCCCCCATGTCTGCTCAGAACAGGGGAGCCTGTGGTGCTGTCGCTGTAGCAGAGAAATAAGGCACAACCAGTGTAGGAGGATGTGGTTTAATGCTGAATTGAGACAGAACATTTTGATGCAGACATACCGCACTATACCATTTGTTTGCTGAGCAGATCTACAGGAAATGTTAACATATTTTAAGAAGGTTGAGTTTGAGACTTACCCATTAGATGAAAAAGGAATTCTGTGGAAAACATCTTTTTAAGAAATATTAGTTGTGCTCAAGCTCAACCTCCTTCTTGAGCGAGAAGGATTGCTTAAGTAGACCTACCTGGTGGTTCTTTAGTTGTAGATTCAAAGAAACCCTGCAGCTCTTTCAGCTTGAGAAGAAAGGGGCGTTTTCAGGGAAATGTACAAAGGACAATACTTAGGCACAAGTTCTTAGTCTTAACTCTGGGATCAAAGACAATTACCAGAAAATGTACAGGGAAAGGGAGACCTGGACTATCCTGATTGCCAACCACCAGCAGGCTTTGCCCCAGCGCTGACGGAGGTCCCAGAGACTGGTATTCTCTGTGCCCTCAGTCCACGCAACCTCCTCAGCGCTGCTGGGCCCCTCTCCTACTGCCTCTCCTCGACGCTCTCTCAGCCCGTCACGCTCTGTTCTGGCCGTGCTCTTTCCCGCTGTGTAGCGGTGGCACTCGCGGAGTCAGCGGGGCCGGTGTGGCCCGTACCCGGACAGGGCAGAGGCGCTGGTAGAGCCCGCAGGGAGCTCGGCACATCTCGGGAGCTCCAGCCCGCACCGCGTGAGGGGAGAGCCCCTCGGCAGAGACCAGGACTGTGATTGGCTCTCCCGGCTCCCTCGGGGAGGGCCGGCCAATGGGGAAGGCCCTTACATGTCGTGCGAGGCGTCCCTCAGGCAGGTGCCGGCGTGAGCGCTGAGCGTGGCGGTGTCCGTGTGGCCGGGGGTGTTCTGTGGGGACAGTCTGCTCTTTCTCATGTTTTGTGTGCATGGCGTGAGCGGGCAGGACATGGCCCGCCACGTCCCTGGGATCTCTGGCCAGCGGAGAGCAGCGCAGCGTCGTGTGCACGGCCCGGCCCGATGGCAGAAGCGGCTGCGAACGAGTAATGGCTGGTACAGCTGATGGCCAGGAGACGGGCGGACTTTCTTTTTCAAATGATCTCTTGGGTTAAAGCCTTGTCCTGATAGCAGCTGCTGTTGACTAGGAGCGCCTTTCAAGTAAAACCAGTGGCTGTAACCAAGCTCCCCGTGGTCCATGGCCTCTCCCGTCGTTGTGCCGTTTTGCTCTGAGCTTGCGTTAGTAGCGGGCTGGGAATGTGGCACAGTGCGGCTCGGGGTGCGGGCCTCAGTGGAGGAGGTTTGCTTGGATGAGCACTTGCTCCTTCTTTGGTTCCATGAACACCGTGAGCTTCTTTCTTCATCTGGGAAAGAGCAATGTGAATTGTGAAGGTTATTTTAATAGAAAAGCTTTTATATGCAAAAGAAAAGGTAATGATATTTGGCACATGTTCATCTAGTCCAGTTAGGATTCATGTATTACTCTCTTTTAAATCATAACTATGAACAGAAATGCACCTCTGACTTTCTAATAGCTCACTACAAGTAAAAAAAATTGTCATGTCTTGCATACAGTATGAAAGTCACTATCACTGCATGCTCAAGAGCAGGGTGTGTAGTAAGTGTATTTATCATGTGGACATAATTCCAGCTGCCCAGTGGGACCAGTTTTGGCTTCCATGCAGGATAGCAAATCTCAAATGCAGCTGTGTGAACGAAGAGTAGTAAATAACCTCCCTGCAAGCAGCAGGGGTAGGGGGTCAGTCTGCTTTGCAAGGAATTTCAGTCATTACATTAGATCCTTAGAACAAAAACAATTTGTGGAAAATCACTAGACAAAATACTGTGCCCATTTAACAACCCTTTCTTCGAATGGTATATATTTACCTTCCTATTAGTCCATTGTTAATTATTGCATGTTATTTTTTCTGATTAACTGGAAAAGTGAATTTCTGTAAGTACACAGTAAATCTCGAATTCGCCTGTGTTGAAGATCTTCTACCTGGCTTCTTCTCATCAAAGGAGGTGCATTTTGAAACTGAAATTACAAAGAAAAGTAATAAAAATAGATCAAACCTCCTTATTTAGTTTTATTTCATTATATTGTTGATGTGTTCTTACCTGCAGGCGTTTGTCCCACAGACTGAGGTGAGAATTTTTCCCTCTGTTATAGCATTATTTTTCTATCCACTCAAGAAATACAGCCTGTTTTTTGGCAGAGGTTTTTAATATTTATTATTTTCTTATTACATAATTTAGAGTTTTGTTTAGCTACAATTGCATAGCTGCCGAATAATTTTACATGGAGTCCACCCTGTTTTGCCCTTCCCAAAATAGCTCATTGTTTTAATTTACAGGAATAAGAAACTCTAAAATGCTTTGTGAAATGAAAATAGTTTTATGGACTCTGTTAACAGGAACTTTAAACAGAATAGAACAAAGTCTTTCTACAAATGCCAGACTGATGGCATGGCCAAAATAAAGAAATAGTTGAGCTCTAGCAACATTTTTTATAACTGGCGTAAAAATTGTTATTCTGATTAAAAGTTTGCTGTAAGACAAATAATAGTGGAAGACTGCAACATGCAAAATTGGGCAATCTGAAGGAAGAATTTATGAGTGGGAAATATGAGGATTTTTATCTGAGAGAAATTAGTTTACTATTCTGAAAAACACGGTAAGATCTAAGCATGCAGTTTTATAGTAGCAGATATTTCATCAGCATTTTTCCTGTATGAGTTTGCTCAGTAATTTTTTCTCTTTTCATACATTTCTGCTTTAGGTCCAGTGAGTGAGATACAAGAAGTATAAGCCCCAGGAGTCTGTGGACTTCAGAGAAGTAACATTATTATGTATCATCTCAGGAAGCTCTGTATGAGAACAGGAAAAGGCCACATAGCCACTCTCCCTGTTTCAGTTTCTACAAAGCATCTGTAAGATGAAAAGACATAGGTTAATTTTATTTTGTCTATGTAAATTGTTCCTTTTCCAATAAAACAGAAGAAACAAGGAAAAAAGCAAACAGAGAGAATAGCAGACATCTCTGCCTGTGTTCTCTCAATACGTGTAGCCACAATCCCATACTCTGACAGAATCTATCAGTCTGTACTAATGCTTTCCTGTGATTCTTAGTGGTTTCATGGTTTGAGGAGGGGCTCTGGTAAGAAAAGGGAATAAAAGGGGACAGAATTATAAAGGCTATGGCCTTCAGCTCTCTCAAAGATAAGCTTGCCTAACACTGTCTCTTTTGTTGGTACCAGATTAATAATAATGCAGAAGAGCAGAAGAAGAAAATAGGGAGGGAGGGAGGGAGGCAATGAACAGGTTCCTGCCACGCTCTCCCCTGAATGTTTGCACAGTGTTGTTTTTACCAGGCATCCCGGTGTCTTAATAAAAGAGTGAGTATCAGATGTTTAGCCTCATCTTCAGAATCCCTTTAACTCATTTTAATTTGTACAAATCACTGTGTTACATCAAGTAATTGCTTGAATTCAGATCAACATCACTAATAAGTCTCCAGTTGTTAAAGACTTGGTAAAAAGAATAAAAATGCTCTAGTGGCTTACATTTGGCAGTATTTTTGCAAAAGGTGAAGGTAAGACTTGAATATTAAAAAAGTCAGGAAGCCATCTTTACCTGTGAGTCTGCAGTCAGCAACTTTGACATTTCAGAAACACTGCAAGAAGCTTTTTGACAGCAGTGTGCTCTGTCACTGAACTCCCTGGACTGGCTGTGACAGGAGTCCAAAATGCCAGACTATTGCCCCTTGTGCTTTTGTAACTAATGATTGTATACAAAA